CCTAACTTTATTTCATGCTCTGCAGTTTGCAAAAGTCCCTTTCCTCAGTTGATGCTCAACAGTTTCTGATGCCAGAATATTTTCAACTTCCCTTTTCCCTTGGGATATATTAACAACCTGTTAAATAATCAAACCAACTGTACTTCTTTCATTTAATCAAAGGCTACAAGTACATCTACCAACAAAAAAAAATCAATTTTAGCTTTTGTCTGAAACCTTGTCATGCCACAGGAAAACAGAATTTGGCACCTTCCCAGGAAAAAAAACTTTTGCGTGTATATTTATAGGACTTCCCACAGTTGTGATTCCTTTTCAGGGATCTTCATCTGAACGTTCTTCCATAGAATATGTATGTTTCTATATGGGGAGGTTTATGGGGAGAAACCAATGATACGAATGTTATTTTAGACTGAAAAATACTTCCTTAGTCCCATTGTTTATCTCTAGTCACCGTCTCACACAGTATACCTGAATTCAGTTATTTACATCTCTCTAGACAGACAAATCCACAAACACCGAAATCATTGATACATGGAAGCATTATGTATTTTCCTTTGTAAAAGTAAGCACTAAATCAGAAATGACTCGGGTAGGTTCCTGTACTTCTATTTTGCTTGAAAAATCCTCCAGTCTCCGCCATCCCCATAATGAGTCACATATTGGTTCACTATCCCAACCAGTGGCATCAATAGTCTTGCACCACGTTCCCTTCAGGCTTCAGAGGCTGAATTAAAAGCAAATCTGTGCAGCCTTTTTAGCTATGAATAACTGGCCAGCTCTGAGTTTGATAGAGAGAACTGGACTGTGCACAGCATGATCAAGCTGCTGTTACTGTAATCAGATCCAGGAAGTTCTGGGTGAAATAAATTTTGCACATATGCTTTAATTAATTGAATTGGAGTTTAGACCTGTTTTGGCACTGGGACCTGATGACAGGGCTCCCTCTCCTTCTGAAGCCCCAAACATTCAAAAGCCATCCTGTGTGGCCAAAGATAGGCAGTTATAAAAGGAGAAGCTCCCTTCCAACCAGGAAAAAAATGGCCAATCCCATCAAATGGATTGTCAACTGCTACAGGATGATGAATGAATCTTAGAATATGTTAGTCATGACGGCCACACTGTAGTATCTGATTCAAAAGCAGTTTACTTCACACCAGTTCATATGCAAACAATTGAGAAAGGACCTTGCTATTTTGTCCTGCTTATGGGCTTTCTCCAGATGTTTTTGGATGACTGCTAAATGAAGCAAGTTGCTGGGTTTGATGGATCTTCGATCCAAAAGGACACCAGGAGTTTCTGCAGGGGGTTCAAAAAATTAAGACGGCAGCCACAATTATATGATCAAAGGCCCACATATAAAAAAATGGAAGGCTTTGATCATGGGGTTGTAGCTGCCATCTTGATTTCTGGACACCCCCCGCCCTCTCCTGCTGAACACACTTTAAAATTGCTTGGAGGAAATGTTTCAGACTTTGCATGAGCACATTTCCTTGCTTTCCATTGAAATACAATAGAACAGTGTTTCTCAACCTTGACAACTTGAAGTCCTGTGGACTTCAA